AGCGTCAGTAACATGATAGTGAAGATTTATGATACCTGATTGGTGATCTACAGGTGTTTTTTCAGATTGGTGTTAGGAAAAGTTTACTGCTGTAAACCTCTCCGCAAACAGGAGGTGTTTATCTCGTTTTATATTATCCTCCCATCTATATGCGGCTAGTGCATCTACCCAATAAGGAAAGGTTTTCAATATATTTATATTCTGAATGTGTCTGATAGTTTTCTCAGACCGTTCATGACGCGATAGTACTATCTCACTTTGAAGATGCTGCGCAGACCGTTCGTTGGGAGCTTTGTAGACGATGTTCGTAATGCTTCAGGATGATTGTTATTTTGAGACTATATATGAAGACCATCAATATGGTTATTTTCAAAATGATGATCATATCATTTTTTGTAATATGATATTTCCATGTGTCATTTAGCCTAGCATACCAGTCAATTCACCGTCGCCCTCGTTAGTCAACACAGTTGTGAGGTATTTCATTTACCTCATTCATCGTAATCTCATCTCGTAGAATCTCACGGCCAATGATCGTAAACTTGTTGCCCGTTATCTTGGCATTGATTTATAGTCCCACTGTCATAATGGTGTTGCACACACTTTTAGTGAGTGTCGGTAGGTTGCTAGCATAGTCGCTCAGCGGCACGATGTCATCGACGTGTCGTGTTCAAGATCCGTTAAGAAAAAGTCAGATATATGGAGCTGTGCTATTAATTGACGGTCAATCTTTCAATGTTCATTCGGACGACGTTGTTCTGCATTATGTAACCACTATGATGTTGAACAGCAAGGGAAAGAGCTCCTCCCTTTGAAAAGCTCAGCTGACAATATTGAAGTAGTCCGATGGTTGTCTTCAGTTCAATTCTAGACTTCGAGTATCATTTACAGAAAGTTTTTGTATTCAAGCTGAAGTGATCGGTTACAGAATTACTTGTACTGCAAAGGTTTAGAATGTACTGTTGTTTTAACAGTATCAGTACGGGAACCTTGTTTGCAGAGAGAAGCTACTATCCACTAAAGAAGAGAGTGGATAATGTACAATACAAATCTCCTGCTATAAAAGATGTTCAGTCCTATGACTTTCTCCTTGTAAAGTACTTTTGTCGTGTGGCATAACATAATGACAGTATTTTATTACGTGATCTACAAATCCTTTGTATTCGCCTCTAGCAGAGTTCCTATGGTCCTGTTGTAATGAGTTAGAAGAGTGGCAACATGTGAATTTACAGGAAAAATTTTTTGTTAATGTGAGTTGATGTTCAAAGCATAATTAGACGAATCCTCAGTTTGCCTGTCGTTTTTTGGTCTGTTCAGGTTTTGAGAGAGGTATAAAAGTCACGGTTTGGTCAGTGATGTCGGTCGGTCGTTATTCTTTCTAAATGCACCGTTTTCAATCGACATAAACTAAATCGCCTGGTTTTGTCATTCATGACCTATGCCATTTCGTCACCCTGCTCTCAGTCGATCGACGAATCATACTTCATGTCAGGTCTGACTTGATGCCAGCCAATCTTACTATTTCGTTAAGCGTCATGTGCTCAGACAAGTTTGCTTTTTACCTATTGCTGACGGTTATAGATTGATGAATTGCTTCTCGAGCGTTCGGTTCTTATCGATGACCTCCTACGCACAATGACGACTGAGAAACGGCTCATGTTGCATCGTCTTCGGTCAGTACATATGTCGTAGGGGCCTCTGTCCCGTTCATGTTCGGCTGATAGCACCTTAACAACCTTTATCCCATAATCTCACCATGAGGTTAACTGACCATTCTCAGTTGAATGGAGGAACCTCAAGAAGATACTGTAACCGATGTCGAATATGAATATATCCTTTTTGATACTGAATATCTCCTTTTTGTTGAAAATCATGGTGTTGTTTCTAAACCAGGCAAAAAATGCATGACATTTCGCTGTAGTTGGCCATGAACCAATGATTGTATAAGACCCTTCGCTACCAATATGATCACACTGATATTTTAGTTAAACGTTATCGTTTGTTGTTTGCGTAACCTGTGACATGAAAATCGAAACGTATTTGCCTTTTTTTGCCAAACAGAAATTAGTAAGATTTGTAATATGACTTTTTCGATTATCACTGCTTATTCGAACCATCAGTTAGTAAAATACTCAAGACTCTTGTACACGTCATTTCTTAAACTAGAAAATAGTTGAACTGAAGATGTCGCTTTTTCATATGGTAGATTTTTTGGATATGCGCGGAATACATCATAATGATCATCATCCTTTTTCATTTCACTGCTGGAAGAAGATCTTTCGGAGATTTTTCCTCAGATGTCTATCTTCTGCGATCCTCAGTCTCTTGAAACTTGTTCAGCTCATCATGTGATTGATTTGAAGATGTTCTTAAGGGCTGTTCACTCTCTCTGTCTCACTAGTGGAACTGATTGTGATTGTCTCTTTCCTTCGACGGTTATTTCTTCTTTTTCAGTTAATTCAGTCAGGCAGTGACATCGCCAACGTTTGTTTGCTTTCTCACTCATTCGTTCATTTCTAAGTTTTTCTTGTTTTTCCAGGCATAATGCTGTATGGAGTTTATGAGGAGTTTTCGGACTTCTTGTCTACGTTTGCTACGCTTAAGTTGGCACTGGAAGCACACATTGATCGAGAAATTTTTGTTTCAAGCACAGAAGCAGTTTACCGGATAACAGCATTTTCAGTCTTCAAAAATTGCTCCATATTATTTCCAGCTTTGGGCTGATTATGTTCTCGTTCGTTTTTTCGTTTCAAGGTCGAATTGTTTCAGATACACATAGTTTTGCATCATCTTCAAAGTTAAGCACGTTGACTTTAGTGAATCACTCGATGATCTATTTATCAATCGTTAAACATGACCTGAGTCATCATCAGTTTCTTTTTCACTTGTTAGATTCTTGTTTGTAATCTTCTGATGATCTTGTAAAGCTTAGAATATCGTCCGCAAACCGAAGGTGGCTTCAGTAATGTGTGTTTATCTTCAGCTGGAATGCCCTGGAAACCACTTCTGAAAGCTGATGTAAATACGTTTGTCATGTTGCATTACGCTGTCAAACGCCCCATTGAAGCTTTACTGATTGTAGTTGCGTTTTTGTAGGTCATGTCGATTAGGTCTCTTTCTAGTTTCGCGGTTCATATTCTCCTTTTCCCTATGGAAATCAGTCAAAAACTTGCAGGAATTATTATGGGGCATTTAAATTTATCGTTGCTTAATATTTCACTCATGTTTTTTAGAAATGTTGAAAGAAGCTTAATTTCGTCTGTGCATAGTCTATGGCCTGTACAGTGACTTATAGCCCTGTGATATATGCATTCCGCGATATTGACAGACGGATTTTTGGAAGTGCAAGATGAAGTGCGTTGAGGTATTTATTTCAGTGCTGTGTTTGTCTGTATATCGTGATAAAGCGGTTATCCCGTTTAATATGAACATTGATAAATGATAGGTGATTATTACGTTTCTGACATGGTCATTATTTGATTATCCATTGAGTAAGTAAGGAATATTACAGATTTTTTTTCAAAATAAAGACATTTGCGTATAGTTTCAGAATTCGATTAATTCGTTACGAAATGACACAGCATATACAGTTTATCATATAAATATTCTCCAAGGTTTCGAATGATGTTCTATCCGACTTCAGATGTTCAGTGAGACATAATATAAAGCAGAATTCTACGGTATACATTGGTGCAGTCATTTAGAAACTTCCCTATAGAGATTTAGCCTCGATAATGATAAAGCTACTTCATAAATTCGTTCCAATACGTACTTAATTTCACACCAATGTCTTTATTCATGCGTTGATCTGATTGAATTTCCGGGACTACCGTTATCTTCCGGCTTTGAAGATTTTTTCTGTCCCCATAGAATTTTATGCAAGTTAAAGCTGAGTTTTGAACCAGTATATTGTGTTTTACTCATGTAGATTTCGCTGAAACAATGTAATTATCATAGTAATAATTTGCACAGTGTCTTTGGGACTCATGTGACTGAAGCAAAGCTGGTAATTTTCATTTGATTCTGGTATGCGCCAACACGTTCTGTGCCACATCCGGTTGACATTCGATGGCGATTTTGTCCTACAGCACTGCGACTTCCAGAAAAGCCATATGTAAGAATTCAGAGATTGCAAGTTTACTGGTTTGTGTAACTGCTTATATGATATTGCCAGTCGCCGCTGTTCCGCAGTCGATATCAAAGTTTGATTTGCTTTTTTGTCGAGTTGTTTATTTGGGCTGTAATTTCAGGCTACCGACCTTAGGCACTGAGATGGAATTATGCAGTTTCATCATAACATATGGTATTGGCACTTAGCGGCTGTCAATAGTCAGAATTGATCTCCTTACAGAATCTCGTTTAGCTTGCATTCCAACATCAGCGCATTCAAAGTAATCAAACATATTCATCACTAGAAAGCAATTAACATGTGAATTAAGCAATTTTCTCAAGCATTGTATAACCTTGCTCAATTTCTTGTAGCTTTATTTGCGTCCTTCTGTTGTGCTTATGTTGTTCTGCAATGGTGCAGTGTGATATTTTTGTTTTGCATTAATCTTGTTTTTCTTTCCGTTTTTAC